TAAACTATATACAATATCTTTTTTTTTACAATTCCTCAATTCAAATTGTTTGTTTTCAATATTCGTAACGTATTTTAGAAAAAAAATAGTTTTAGAAATTTAATTCAGAAATATGCACTTTTTTTTCTATTTTTAGGTTCTAAAATACGTAACGCACGTAAAATACGTAATTTGAAAATAAACAATTTGAATTGAGGAATTATTGTATGAAAATGTACAGAAAATTCTATTAATTTGTATGTGGAAACGTATGAATTCGCAGGTGTTTATCCGTGTTGGAAATTTGAGTTGCGCTAAAAATACGCGCGCGCCATCTAAAAATATTTTAAAACACCGGATTATAAATGTCGTAATGCCGTTGAGTAATCCGCGGTCCGAGAATAGGACGCGCGGGGCCGAATCGAAGAAGAGAACTATGTAATTACTGCAACAAACACCTAACTTCAATCGATCCAAAAACACAACATCCCTAGAAACGATTAAAGATTCTCAATAAAACTACATATAATTCAACTAATAAGTGAATTAGATCGATTAAAACAATAAATTACACTTAAACTAATGTATCGAGTATTTAAATTGCTCAAATCCATTAAAAACTATTCGTATTACCCGCATCGCATCGAAACAATAAACAAGATTAGATTAAAAAGCGTTACGAGAAGTGTCGCTATCTCATCTTGGTTTCAACAAATATGTAAAGTCATTGATAAAGTCAGAAGCATCATCCACGTTCTCAGTTTTGATACAAAATGTTTCGCTGTTTGCGGAGGCAACGTTTATTTTAGTTTCGCGTTCATTGTGTACTATTTATAGTGCACCATAAACGCACGCTGCTTTATTTTATTTATTTTTTTTATAATCCTGCTCTCCTGCACTTGCCTCCGCATTTTATTATTACTTTACACTCAATTCAATACGCAACAAACTTAGTTTGTTGCAAAAGGATTAAATTTAGATTTGCAATAAAAATCACTGTTTTTACTTGTAATTACAAAACGCTTATGGCTCCGTCGGAATTCGCCGACAATGATTAGCGTCAAGGACTCCCGCATGTAGAATTAATTATCTTCGCCATGTTAAAAACAATACAGATTGTAGGAAATAGCTAAACGGATTTACGTAAAAATTAACTTACTTTCACATATTAATTGTGGGTTTTAGATATGTAAAATCGTTTTTGAACTTGGGAATCGCGCGAAACGAGAGCGAAAGCTGCTCCTCGGAGATGATGCGTTCACGTTGTTGTTGTTGTTGTTTGCGATGATGATGATGATGTTGAAAGTGAATGGTGCTAAAGAAAGAAAGAAATAAAAAGGAGACTCACCTCGCCATGATCCATCCTTCCTTCGGGCGTGTTCTCCGGCAAAAAGTATAGCCTCAAACTGGCCAGCACTTGCTCACTATTCTTATCCGCCCAGAGCAGCTGCAGCTCACCGATGCACACCAGATCCGAGTCCATCCACAGCTTCACGAAAAAGAATTCACTCAGTGTCATTATGTGTCTCTGGCCGTTCTTCGTGTACTTGAAGGCCTTGTAGAAGGTGTAAGGGCCGTGCTGTCCGCACGGGCCTCCTATCAGCTGGAAAAAGCGAAAGAAACAAAACGAGAAAATCAATGGAAAAATCGAAACTTTAAAATTAAAAACATTCGACAGTGAAAAACCAACAACAAAAAAAGTAACAAATCAACTTTTCAGCATCAATTGATTTCGATTCAATCACGACTAATTGAAACGATAATTTTCCAAGCGCAAACTCCATTTATTTCAACTAACTAAAACTTTTTCATCGTATCAATTTAAAAAAATAAACCGCGCAGTTTTTCTTTTCATATCTAGGCTAATTAGAGGAAATAATTACATTAATAAATCCTAATAATTATTTCCATTTTTTATTAAATTTAAGTTATGAACTTTCCAGTTTCCTTTTGCCACACAAGAGCGAGTTTTTCGTGGAGAGAGAGTTTTTTTTTTATTATTTTCTTCTTTAATATTTATTTCTTGCTCGCTTACTGCTCTTTCTATCTCTCTTCTCTTCTTTCTTTAATTTTAGAAGAAACCCACGTAAATTAGAGCAAACGTGCTCACGGCCGACTCCGCCAGATGTCTTGTATTATATTATATTTATAATTTTTTTTTTCAAAGAGAAACTCTTACCGAAACTCCCGTACACTTATAATTAATTTAAATAAATTCGCGTAGATCGAGCCGTAACTTCAGTGATGAAGCTTTGTATTAGAAATTATATAACGAATTCAACTAAACTAAATAATTGTTCATAAATTATTAAGAAAAATGATGAAATTTCATAAAATAAACTTGAAAATTTTAAAAGATTTCATCAAATAATGGAATACGAATTGCGTGTAGTGTAAATTACAAGATAATAAATAATTAGTAAGAAAAATGATGAAATTTCTCAATATAAATTCAAAATTTGAAAAATTTCATCAAATATATGGAATACGAATTGCGTGTAATGTTAATTACTAGAAACTATATAATTAGTAAGAAAAATGATGAAATTTCTTAAAATAAACTTCAAAATTTGAAAAATTTCATCAAATATTTGAAATACTAATTGCAAGTAACATAAATTACTAGAAATTACGTAATTGTTTAAAAATTATTAAGAAAAATGATGAAAATCTCTAAAATAAACTTCAAATTAAAAGAAACGAATTGCGAGTAATGTGAATTAATTGAAACTAAATAATTGTTTAAAAAATATTAAGAAAAATGATGAAATTTCGTAAAATAAACTTGAAAATTTAAAAGATTTCATCAAATATGAATACGAATTGCAAGTAAATAGTACATTACTAGAAATTACGTAATTGTTTAAAAATTATTAAGAAAAATGATGAAAATCTCTAAAATAAACTTCAA